AGAATGAGGTAGGATCCAGCCGGTGGGCTGCCAACAGGAAGCGGCGGGGGCCGCCCAGAGTGTCGCAGAGGCTGCAGCCCTTAGAGGATGGAGAACAAGCAGGAGTGAAGCAGGTGAATGAAATGAGTAAACCAGCCAGTCATCAGCACCAAGATTATAACAAGTTCAAAGTACTCCACTGTGTGGATCGCCTTGAAGATGAGAGAAACATTGACACGACCCTCTTCCTCTTCTGACCTAAACCCAACTGAGAACTTGTGGGCCCTTCTTAAATCTCAGTTTTACTTTCTTAAATATATTTAGGTTAGGGATTTATTAATATCTTGGAATGACCAAGAGAATTGTTTAAAAATATAAATCCTCAGAACTACTACTTGCCTAATAATTGTGCACACTGTGTATATTGTGGAAGTGTTTAATAAGTCAAATATGGTATTTGACATTTCGAGTTGGGGATCTTTCTAAAGGAAAATGTGTAGAGAATACTTTCATAGAATACTTTCTTTGCTGTTTTATTTAACTGTTTGTATCACATAGTTTTAATTTGTTGTAGGACTTTTATAAAATAAACAGCGAGCCTGTTGGTTGCTGCCTGATCATAAACAACGAGAAATTCCCGAGCCTATCTGTTGAGAACGGAAAACTGAGAAGAGGAACAGACAAAGATGCTGGTGTGTTATTGTTGTTCATTCAATTTTTTTCTTTACTTTATCTCATTTAATGTTTGCTAAACTGTAATTTCTCTCTTAAACATAATCCTATAGAAAGCCTGGCAAAGGTGTTCAGCTGGCTGGGCTTCAGAGTGCTGATGTGTAAAGACCAAACTAAGGACAGGATGGATCAGACACTGCAGTGCTTTGCTTCTCCTGGTGATGCCATCCAGGTGCAGGACCTGGTCATCAAAGAATGGTCTGAGAACCGCTTCACTGACCTTCAGCAGCTCCCTCACCATGGCGACGTATTTGTTTGCTGCATTCTGACCCACGGAGCTCAGGGTGTAGTTCTGGGTACAGACTTAGAGCCTCTTGAGATTAAAGAAATTAAACATTTTTTTGGGGCCACTGATCAGTCGCCCCTCACCGGCAAACCCAAAGTGTTCCTGATCCAGGCCTGCCAGGGACCTAACATGCAACAGAGAGTGTTGCTGAATGATCTGGAGGAGGACAGTTCCACCTCCATCCCTGAGGCAGCAGATATTCTGGTTGCTCTATCCACTGTTGAAGATTATGTATCTCTTAGGGATGAAGACGAAGGAAGCTGGTTTATCCAGTCTGTGTGTGAGCAGCTGTTGGAGCAATGCCCCGGGTAAATAAAATACCTCAAAACACCCAATTATATGCCTTATATCAAATATCTCCTATTTTATAATCCCAATGCATCACTTAGCGCTCTCTATTGTTTGATTTTGGCTTTTTTTTTTCTATCTCTGTGCTGCTACATTGACATCTAATCTAATTTCAGGGGTGAGGACATAATCTCCATTCTCCACCATGTAAATGACCAAGTGTGCAAGAAAGAGGGCTCTATATATAACAAGAAGCATAATACATATATTCGAGCAAAACAGGCACCTGAGCTGCACTCCACTCTGAGGAAGAAACTGGTTCTTTTGCCAAAATCCACATAGAGAGCCACAACTTCTGCAGACAGTTCTGGCTTTTGTTCCTTTTAACCCTGAAAATGTTTGACAGAAATATTATCCTTTTTTTTAAATAAATTCTGTAATTTTCCAACTGATTTTATATTAAGTCACATTTTTTTAATTTTGAACCAAACTTGAATAAAATGCTTTAGCCAGTGGTGGTTGGTGTTGGGTTTCTTTTTCATCAGCTCCAAATATCTAACACGGATCAACTGCAGAGCTACTCAACAAATAGATGGATGATTTAAATGTGTTTAAAAATATACATCCATGTTAATTTTCTTCCTCCATGTATTTATTAAAGTTCACATATAATGAAAACCTTACCTACATGGGTATTATTTGGACATTTTGGCTCAATGAAATTAAATCTGACTGAATATTTGATTTCATATATAAATAGAGAGAGAGAGAGAGATTTAATTTCACTTTGGATTATCAATGTTATATATTTTCTTTAGGCTTTCTTTTTTAAAAGAAAAATGATAAATAGCAACAAAAAAAAGTCCAAGACATCTTCTAAGGACCTGTTGGTACTTATTCATATGTCTGGCCAAAGTGGCAGATTTGGCCCCATGAAGTTTTGCAGGAATATATTTCTATTATAAAAATATAGTGTTTTTTAATCTATCTTGCCGGTGCTTAAGGTTTTGAGCTAAGATTTTGTTCTTAACGTCTTCTGCTATGTGATGAATAAAGCGTTTTAACAGAAATAGTTCATTCATGTGATCTAGGATATGTAATTTTAGTGTTAATTTCTGGGCAGATTATATCACCTTCCCCAGACTTAGCCTAACTCTCTCCCTCTACAGCATGGGGAACGTACCTCTTCACTCTTCCTTTAAACTTTAAGACCTTAATTTCCAGAATAAATGAACTCACTTTCATTTAAGAAACACAAAGATGAACCACTGAGCAACACTGGCTCTGTCCTAAAAGATTAGACACTTCTGACAAAGACAACAGTTGTAACTCATTTTCTGGATAACTGGGAGTCATTAGGCTCTGACTCCACACAGAGTCCACATCAGATTCTTCAATCAGCTTTGTTGAACAATCCTCTCTTGCTGCAGTTATCCTATTACACGTCTTTAGAACTGACTTGTTGTGACTTTCCTTCAAATGGAGGATATCAGTGATAATTTCCCATTCAGAAGTTTTCCACGATAATATAGGCTTGTGACCAAAACACATTTTAATTGTGTAACAGCTTCATTTTTGGGGAGGAAAACTTGATTTTTAGTGGCAAACAGCCATTATTACCTAGATTTGAAAAAAATAATTGCTATAAATAAAGTGTTTTAATTCTGAAGTTAATCCGCTTATTGGAAATATTTCAATGTAATGAATTTATATCTGTGTTCCAAGTTGATTATGTACATTTTGGATCATTAATGTTGGCATTTTAAATAATTCACTATGAGAAGAGCCAGAGCACAGCCTGAGTCAGCAATAAAGAAGCATTTAAGGTGAATTTTTTTAATTTATTTTCTTCACACATTTCACTTCCGAGACCGCAGGTGTCCACATTCTGTCTGTGGGGAGATTAAGGTTTAAAAGATACAGTCAAAAAAGGATAATTTGACGAAATGCATAGAGTGTGGTTTGCTGTTGCTCCCATTCTCAAAACCTCCGATGACTTTCAGTTCAGCTAAGAGGTCATCAAACAAAGATCTGAGAAGGTTAGCAATGCCACAGAGCCACGAAAGGTGCTCATATGCATCAGTTCCCTCTTAAAAGAGGAAAGTTAAAACCGATGGAAAGAAAAGAAGGTTGAGAATATTGTTTTGTGAATTGTAAAATAGAGAACTAGAAACCACATCCCTGTAGCAATGATTAAAAAACAATTTTTAAATAAACATCTTTGTGTACAAAAATAAACATAGGACAAGAAACAAACACAAAAGATGAAACAAGGAGTATCAAGGATATTGGTATCTACAGTTAAACATTCAGAACAGAGAAAAAAAATTTAAAACAAATTGACATTATAGTAAATTAAATATATTGATTGATTTAAGGCTCTGTTATGTATTTAATAGCTTTATTGTTTGTAGTTTTGGAAATAGTGAATGGCTTTAATTCCATTTCTTTAACCCATATTGAAAAAAGGGTAAGGACTAGGAGGACTTATTATTGAATAAAAATTTTAGTGCCAAATAATTCTACCCTTAAAAAAATCTTCAGATGATTCAATTGTTTTCTGCAGTTGGAAGTTTCTGATGACTTCCTATCACATTTTCATATGTTCTTCAGGTAATTTCAGCTTTTTTCATTCAGCAAAAGCATTCCCACTTTGATGTTTCTCCGAAACAGCTTTTTCTAGTCTCATTTAATGTTTGCTAAACTGTTATTTCTCTCTTAAACATAATCCTATAGAAAGCCTGGCAAAGGTGTTCAGCTGGCTGGGCTTCAGAGTGCTGATGTGTAAAGACCAAACTAAGGACCAGATGGCTCACACACTGCAGTGCTTTGCTGCTCCTGGTGATGCTGTCCATCTGCAGGGCATCCAGGAATGGTCTGAGAACCGCTTCACTGACCTTCGGCAGCTCCCTAACCATGGCGATGTATTTGTTTGCTGCATTCTGACCCACGGAGAAGCGGGCGTAGTTCTGGGTACAGACTCAGGGCGTCTTGAGATTAAAGAAATCAAAAGGTTTTTTAGGGCCACTGATCAGTCGCCCCTCACAGGCAAACCCAAAGTGTTCCTGATCCAGGCCTGCCAGGGACATGGAAGACAGCAGAGAGTGTTGCTTAAAGATCTGGAGGAGGACAGTTCCACATCCATCCCTGCGGCAGCAGATGTTCTGGTTGCTCTATCCACTGTTGAAGATTATGTATCTTTTAGGGATCCAAATCAAGGAAGCTGGTTTATCCAGTCTGTTTGTAATCAGCTGCAGCAGCAATGCCCTGGGTAAATAAAATACCTCAAACAACTCTTTCTTACATGTCTTAAAGGTCTTAATGTCAAATATCTCCTATTTTATAATCTCAATGCATGACTTGGCGCTCTCTATTGTTTGATTTTGGCATTTTTTTTTCTATCTCTATGCTGCTACATTGACATCTAATCTAATTTCAGGGGTGAGGACATAGTCTCCATTCTCCACCGTGTAAATGACGAAGTATGCAAGAAAGAGGCCCCGACTTATCAAGGTCCAGCAAAACAGGCACCTGAGCTGCACTCCACTCTGAGGAAGAAGCTGGTTCTTTTTCCAAAATCCACATAGAGAGCCACAACTTCTGCAGACAATTCTTGCTTTTGTTCCTTTCAACCCTGAAAATGTTTGCCAGAAATATTATCCTTTTTTTATTAAATGCTACAGGTGC